TATTCTAGTAAAAGTGTAAACCATGGAAAATTTGACAAGATAGATGTGTAAATTATCACTCTGACAGAACTAATGATGCACTCCAAGCACCTTCTGTTTTCCAGCACTTGGCGAGCGACTTCATTAAATATGCAATGGCCGTTTGGTGGCTGCTCGCAAGTTGGTTGCTTTCCTTCTGGAATTGCTGTATTTCCTGAGGTGGATGAGCAGGCAGGCACGCTGGCTGCCGGACACCCCGCTGTGGCTCTGATGTACTCCATCTTGTGTGTGCAGTTGTTTGAAGTATTTTCAGGACAATTGCATCTATAACCACAGGACATATTCCCTGCAGCAATACTACAAACCGCAGTTACAGAAAGACTGACACTTTTTTTTTGCCTTTTTCTACCTATAATAAATCAGTTCAGTAGCATAGCCTATGATCGTTCTACAATAAAATAGTGTTTAATTAAGGAAGTGTTATTAATAATTTTTTTTTTGTAATTGCATGATATATCAACTAGACCAAAAAACATACAGAATGCTTAACTATGCCTAAAAAAATTGTTCCTCTACACTCGCAATTTTCTGTTAAGCATCTTCCTAATTTCTGATAAACTCCTGAAATATTTAATGGCTTTTTTTTCCTCCTCCCCCTCGCTTGCAGAATAATCTGTATTTAAGATAATTTGTTATATACTTTAGTTTCACTTTGATATGCCAAAGTCTATATTTTTACTTTTAAAGATAAAAAAAAAATATCCAAAACAATTATAAGAAAATAAAATAGTATAGTTCCATTCCTTAAGGCTGGGTTTCAGACCTAGCCAATAGCGTTTTTGCGCGGTTTTACGCACGGTTTATGAGCGTACATCAGGTTGTGTGTTTTTGTGAGCAGATTGTAGCTCATTGATATTACTGAACAAACGCTCGCAAAAACACAGCAAATGTGCGTTTTCAAGCATTTCCTATTGAGTCTATGGGGCCCAAACAAGCTGTAATATACCTAAAAAAAAAGCTCCTGTACTTTTTCCCGCAACAAGCGTTTTGATTATTGTGAGAAAATGCTCAGATGTGAATAAGGCCATAGAAATGAATGTTTTTTTAGGGCAGAAAAAGCGCTGCAAAACGCTCAGTGTGAACCAGGCCTAAATCTGTAGTTCTTCCAACAGCTCATGGGCCATTGTCAATCTGTGGGTCAGTTGCTGAGTTTTCTACCAAGGCAAATATCACAATATTTATAACTAGAAATT